TGTATGAGTGTGTGTGTTGTGTGAGTGTGTGTTGTGTGACTGTTGTGTGTTTGTATGAGTGTGTGTTGTGTGCGTGTATGAGTGTGTGTGTTGTGTGAGTGTGTGTTGTGTGAGTGCGTGCGTGTGTGTATGTATCTTCTGTGCGTCTGTGTGTGTGTGAGTGAGTGAGTTTGTGTGTGCGTGCGTGAGTGTGTGTGTATGCGTTGTGTGCGTGCCTGTGTGTGTGTGTCTGTGAGTATGTGTGTGTTGTGTGAATGAGTGTGACTGTTGTGTTTGTGTTGTGTGTGTTTGTATCTTCTGTGCGTGTGTGTGTGTTCTGTGTGAGTGTGTGTTCTGTGTGAGTGTGTGTTCTGTGTGTGAGTGTGTGTTATGTGTGTGAGTGTGTGTTATGTGTGTGAGTGTGTGTTATGTGTGTGAGTGTGTGTTATGTGTGTGAGTGTGTGTTATGTGTGTATGTGAGGATGTGTTGCCCTGAAGAGGCTCCGCTGTGTCCCCCTCTCTGTCCACTGGTACAGTGTGTGTGTGTGTGTGTGTGTGTGTGTATGTGTGTGTTGTGTGTGTGTGATCAGCTCTGTCTCTAGTGTGTCTTCAGTGTGTGTATGTGTGTGTGTTTTGTGTGTATGTGTGTGTGTTTTTGTGTGTGTGTGTGTGTGTGATCAGCTCTGTCTCTTGTGTGTCTTCAGTGTGTGTATGCTGTGTGTGTGTGTGTGTGTGTGTGTGTGTGTGTGTGTGTGTGTGTGTGTGTGTGTGTGTGTGTGTGTGTAGCGGTGGCCGTGTGGGTGTCTGGCTCAAACACACCTCTGCTCTGGTGGAACAGGATAGTGCTGCTTAAGTGGAGTCTATCTCACCTCCTCAGTGTCTCTCAGTGTCTCTCAGTGTCTCTGTGTCTGTGCGCGTCTCTTTGTGTCTTGGCCTAATGGAGTGAGTGTCTGTGAGGCCAGCGCCAAAGGGGCCCCGGAGCCTAATCACGCATTCAGCCTGGTCAATAGCACGCGCCGCTCTGTCTCTACACTCTCCCGTCTGAGCAGCGCCTGTGTAAAGTGCCACACGCGCATCAATTATTAAGACAGGCGTTTGCTCCTAATTGATCAACACTAATGTGTTTTGTAATCACTGCAGTTGTGCACTTCTTAGGAGAGTCCAAACCAATCGATGGAGCTCTGCAGGAGAGAGGAACTGAGGAGCTAAAGAGCTGAGGAGCTGTGAGGAGCTGTGAGGAGCTGTGAGGAGCTGTGAGGAGCTGTGAGGAGCTGTGAGGAGATGTGAGGAGGTGTGAGGAGCTGTGAGGAGAGGAGCTGTGAGGAGCTGTGAGGAGCTGTGAGGAGCTGTGAGGAATCTGAGGAGTTGTGAGGAGCTGTGAGGAGCTGTGAGGAGGTGTGAGGAGCTGTGAGGAGAGGAGCTGTGAGGAGCGTGTGAGGAGCTGTGAGGAGCTGTGAGGAGCTGTGAGGAGCTGTGAGGAGCTAAGAGGAGCTGTGAGGAGATGTGAGGAGCTGTGAGGAGCTGAGGAGCTAAGAGGAGCTGTGAGGAGCTGTGAGGAGTCTGAGGAACTGTGAGGAATCTGAGGAGCTAAGAGGAGCTGTGAGGAGCTGTGAGGAGCTGTGAGGAGTCGTGAGGAGCTGTGAGGAGCTGTGAGGAGCTGTGAGGAGCTGTGAGGAGCTGTGAGGAGCTGTGAGGAGCTGTGAGGAGCTGTGAGGAGCTGTGAGGAGCTGTGAGGAGCTGTGAGGAGCTGTGAGGAGCTGTGAGGAGAGGAGCTGTGAGGAGCTGTGAGGAGCTGTGAGGAGCTGTGAGGAGTCTGAGGAGCTGTGAGGAGCTGTGAGGAGCTGTGAGGAGTGGAGTGTGAGGAGCTGTGTGAGGAGCTGTGAGGAGCTGTGAGGAGCTGTGAGGAATCTGAGGAGTTGTGAGGAGTTTGAGGAGTCTGAGGAGCTGTGAGGAGCTAAGAGGAGCTGTGAGGAGCTGTGAGGAATCTGAGGAGTTGTGAGGAGTCTGAGGAACTGTGAGGAGCTATGAGGAATCTGAGGAGTTGTGAGGAGCTGTGAGGAGCTGTGAGGAGTTGTGAGGAGATGTGAGGAGCTGTGAGGAGTCTGAGGAGCTGTGAGGAGCTGTGAGGAGGTGTGAGGAGTCTGAGGAGTCTGAGGAGCTGTGAGGAGCTGTGAGGAGCTGTGAGGAGCTGTGAGGAGTTTGAGGAGCTGTGAGGAGCTGTGAGGAGTCTGAAGCTGTGAGGAGCTATGAAAAACTATGAGGAGTCTGGGGAGCTGTGAAGAGTCTGAGAAACCGTGAGGGGTCTGAGGAGCTGTGAGGAGATGTGAGGAGTCTGAGGAGCTGTGAGGAGATGTGAAGAGCTGTGAGGAGCCCTGTCACCATCTAAACAGATCTCAGCATGATTTATGTGAGAAGAAAAGCCCAGAGCAGGACTAGAGCACAAACCTTGTGATCTATAAAAAGACTAAAACGAGATGAAAATGTGCTCCGGTCCAAAATGTCTGAACTTTGAGCATCAGGACGGTCAGAGACGAGACAGAAGAAGATGTGAGCTCAGAGAGATGAGGAGTGAGAGAGTTTGTAGAAAAGTGAGTTTTGTCCCTATGACACTTTTAGTAGGATCCACATAAGGTTTTGTAAATGAGCGTGGAGCAGATGGGCACGCGCCTGATGCCCTCCCCTCGCCGAGCGGTGCCATTGGAGACTGTGTTTTATCTGTGCTGGTCCATTACTCTTAATGCCCTGTGTCTGAGGGCTCAGAGCCGGGGCGTCGCGCCACAGCAGGAGATACCCTGTCACACACATACAGATATATGGCTCTGGAGGCGCGCAGCAGACTGCCTGTCTGCATATCAATACCCCGAGCTCCGGGGGCGAGCGTGTGGCTAACCTGTTAGCACTGACCGCTGATAGTCATGTACACACCATTAGCTCCTGATCCTCTCACCTCAGCGACAGCAGCCAGTAAGAAAACACTCCTCTGTCCCTCAGTAAACAGCTCCTAATGGACTGACAGTGTATCAGACCAGACACAGTCCAGTCTGACTAAAGATCTGGACTCTGATGAGGTGTGAGCCCCAGAGTCCCCAAGACGGCTCCACGAGGGTCAGTGTGTTCTCATTCACGGCCTCAGATCTGGAGTCTCTCTCAGAAACACAAGGCTTCTGCACGAGTGATTACAGCTCTGATGGAGTTTTATTTTAGTGCCCCAGCTCCAGGCCTGGTGAATGTTGTGACCGCAAATACTATGACTCCATGTTTCTACACACGGCTCCATCTGCCCTTCACAAACACGTTCAGTCCAGATTTAAGCTTAAGACATGTGCTTTATTTTAGGATCTCTCTTCCAGTCAAAATGTATTTATTTTATCCATTAACATGAAAAAAAAAAAGGTAAAAAACAAAACAACAACAACAACAACTGAGGTCTTTACATGTAAAATAACTGCCACAAAAATTATAATTTAAATAAGCAGCAGAAGTAATAGTTATAAATGTACTGGTTGTGAGATTGTTGTGCTAATATCTTGAAAGATGCAAAACTACCACTTCATAACATCACAACACGGTTTACCCCTGGTGTTCACTGACTGCAGGTGCGGTTTGGGTTCGGTGCAGTTTTACTGTGACTTGTGCCCCACAGACTGCGGTGTCTGCTGCTGTGCGGTCACAGTGAGTGTGGAAACTGCGCTCCAGAGACAACGTCTTCAAGGGAATTCACGCTCTGGTCGGGAGTTCACGCGATAGATTGTGTACAAGAAGCCTTTCTGAAACAACAGCGGCATCTCTCACTACGACGATTTTCTTGAGCTTTCAGACAATATTTTCTTGTGCTTTCGTATACGACTTTCTTGATCTTGAATGGGTAACTACATTTGTGAACTACCAGGAGTGTGCAGGAATGTTTTATTCTAAAAATACACCAGATCTGTCAGTTCTGTGTGTCTCATTTCCCGTTTTCTCATGTGATTTTTGTCAGTTTGATATCAGAGACCGCTGCAGTGTCCGGCAAAGACAGATTTCTTGCAGATTCTTTGAGCAGGTCAGTGCCCCACCACACTTACACTTGTACCTGTACCTGCACCGAGGTCAGTGTGGCAGGGCGCTACCGAGTTTAATGACTTTCTAATGCTGGACATACAATGTGCGATATTTTCAACAATTTCACTCAGCTTCAGCTCAAACTGTACAACGAAAATCACAGGGTTTAAAAGTTCACAGCTTGTGGAGCTACTCCAACAGAGTGAAACCCTCACCAGAGGCGACTGGACTTCAAACAGGTCTGATATTCTTGTGACCTACGATTGCAACTTATGATTTAGGATTGCGGCTTACACCCTACGCTCTCGTCCTACTACTTACAATCACGACCTACTACTTACAATCGAGACCTACAACTTACGACTGCGACCTACGACTTACGACCTCGACCTACAACCTACGATCACGATCTACAACTTACGATTACAACCAACGACTTACAATCACGACCTACGACTTTCCATTGCGACCTACAACCTACGATCTTGACCTATGATCGCGATCTACGACTTATGATCACAACCTATGACCTACAATCATGATCTACAACTTACGATCGCGACCTACGACATACGATCTCGACCAACGACTTATGATCGCGACCTACTACTTACGATTTCGACCAACGACTTATGATCGCGACCTACGACATACGATCGCGACCTACAACATACGATCGCGGCCAACGACATACGATCGCGACCTACGACATACGATCGCGGCCAACGACATACGATCGCGACCAACGACTTACGATCGCGACCTACGACATACGATCGCGACCTACGACTTACGATCGCGACCTACGACTTACAATCGCGACCTACGACTTATGATCGCGACCTACGACTTACGATAGCGACCTACGACTTATGATAGCGACCTACGACTTACGATCGCGACCTACGACTTACGATCGCGACCTACGACTTACGATCGCGACCTACGACTTACGATCGCGACCTACGACTTACGATCGCGACCTACGACTTACGATCGCGACCTACGACTTACGATCGCGACCTACGACTTACGATCGCGACCTACAATTTACGATCGCGACCTACGACATACGATCACGACCTACAACTTATGATAGCGACCTACGACTTACGATCGCGACCTACGACTTACGATCGCGACCTATGACCTACAATCATGATCTACAACTTACGATCGCGACCTACAACTTACGATCGCGACCTACGACATACGATCTCGACCAACGACTTATGATCGCGACCTACGACTTACGATCGCGACCTACGACTTATGATAGCGACCTACTACTTACGATCACTACGATCGCGACCTACTTACGACTTACGATGATCGCGACCTACAATTTACGATCGCGACCTACGACTTACGATCGCGACCTACAATTTACGATCGCGACCTACGACATACGATCGCGACCTACAACTTACGATTGCAACCTACGACTTACGATCGCGACCTACGACTTACGATCGCGACCTACGACTTACGATCGCGACCTACGACTTACTATCACGACCTATGACCTATAATCATGATCTACGACCACACGTCGCCTCGCACCGCACCTGCAGCCAGCGTACGCCGGGGCGTTAGAGCTCACGAGAGTCAATTATGCCTTATGTAGTTCAAATATCATGGCAATTACCGCATTATCACATGTTCATTAACTAACCCCACACTTACCTTAGCGGCGTTGATGACCGTGGCCGTGTAGGACTGCGCGTTGTCACCACACGCGCCGCCTCTGGACTGATGAGATCGTATCAACTGCAAAAAAATAAATAAATAAATAAATAAAATCATATCTTACATGATTTAAAAAAAAAAAAAAACATATTTCAGTACAAACTTAGTCACAGAAAGCACAGTGTGTTCAGCCCTGAGTAGAAAATCACAATGTCCACCCAAAACACTTGAATTAGCTTGAGAAATCATGCTATAACTTTAAGAACGGCATAGTGGACCCATCTGCCAATTACCGCAGTGAGCCATGCCCAAATTGTGTATTAAATTGTATTGTAAAGGTTTGGTAAATACTTAAAAATTCCATTATGAGGAGTCTGGGGCTTTTATTTTCGAGACGCTCTCATCTGTAGTGGATAGACTCTCAGAGAAATGAGCTGTTTATCCAGACAGATCGCACACACACACACACACACACACACACGATGCGTTTTAGGAGATTGTAAATATGTCCATTTAAAGATAAGGGACTCCTCCAATAACAGGAAATTTGTTTACTCCCAGCCTCTTCTTCCAATTGTTTTGCAGAGCTTTTTGGAATTAACTGCTTAGTATGCAAGTAAGAACGGGCTAAGCTACAGATTCCATACTGTTGTTTTAATCGTTTAATTGGCCACTAAAAACGATCACCGACTGAAGACGCTGCGCCTGATTTTCACCGTTTTAAAAGGTGCGTCGTGGAACTTTCCTGGATTTTTGCGTCCATTAAAATGCTTTTCTACGTGGAGATGTTATCGCTTCGCTTTCTGGAATGTTTCACAGTATGGCATTAAACCATTCTATCTTCGTGGAGACCAAATTAGATAAGATGACGGGTTAGATCTGTGGAGAGGCGACCAGCTCAGAGTCAGAATTAATGTTTTTCGAGGTGTTTTTGAGCTATAAAACCACCTGGAATTAAATAAATTACAGGTGGAACGTTCCGGGCAGAGCAATGACGTATCCATAGAAACAAGCAGGAGACAGATCCCCAAACAAAAAGTTACACAGTGCAGTTTTAAAAATGTTTAAAACAGAATTAGTTCATTGTAAACAGTTTGCAGTGGTCCAAAGTTGAACATTCTAATTATTCACCATGATGAGTTTAGAAGCATTTTTCACAACTTAAAAGAGGCAAAAGACGATTTGTGGGGTGATGGTAAAGTTAACTAGCATGCTAACGCGCACTACCTCATTACTGGACAATATAATACTTTATAATTAGATGCAGAAAGCAGAATTATTTTGACCTCGAGAGCTGTTTATCCAATATATCTGTACTGGGACAACATGGATTTTGCTCAGAAATATGAAAGAAAAAAATAAATTAATAAATTGCGTACAAGAATTTTCAACCGTTTCAACTGTTGTATTAAAATGTAATTTAAACTAATTATATTATAAATTATAGACTTGCTTATATAAATGTTAATTGTGTAGATTATAAAATTATACTGTCTTTCCTCTTGTTTACAGCATAACTTAAAAATGCAAGGATTTTATTTTTACTTCTTTCTTTCTCTCTTATTTATTTTTATTTTTTATTTATTTATTTATTTTTTATTTTTTTATTTTTATTTATTTTTTATTTTATTTTTTTTTTTTATTTTTTAATCAGTTAAGCCAATTAAAATGTGTTGCTTCAATTTTAGTTTTAATTTTAATTTTCTGACAGTACCTTGTTCTCGGCGTAGGCGAGCCAGCGACTCCCCAGAGCGATGGGGTTCAGACTGGGGCCGGGGCAGGGGTAACAGCCTGCAACACAACAACAAAGCAAAAATACACAAAAGTTATTAAATTATTATTAAATGCAGCACAATTAAAACATTTTGTCCACCATGTTTTGACTGGACAGTAATAAGAGTTTGGTTTGGCAGTACGGTATTTTCTCTCGTATTTTGATTTCTAAATAATTACTGCAACTTGCAAAACAGCTGAAAACTGAACACAGAAATACACATGGTACAAACTGTATGAAAATATATATATATGTAGTTTGTATGAAATTAACGTAAGATCTGGACAAACGTTATTGATCCACAAGAGAAATTACTTGGACTTGGAAGATTTCAGATTTAAAAGAAAGATGGAATTTGTGTCACTTGCTTAACAATGTTTCAGTGGGACAATTCTGACATAAATATAATTAAATCAAGAATATAAAATGATAAATCTGAAGAAAGACGGGAAGTCTACAGTGTGAGGCGATGCTTTGGGGGTAAGGCAAAAAAGAAATTTGGGAACTACGGCATTACAATAAAACACGAGAGCAAAAAATAAATAAGCAAAGAAAAAAAAAGTAAAAATGCTCAGTTAAAGCTATCAAAAAGAACAAACCATTTTATGTTATTGTTGTTTTAATAGCTGTAGTTTATTATTTATTTATAGAAAAGTGTATAAGTGACATTTTTCTAACGACGCTCAAAAAAAAAAATTAGATGGGAATCAGATTTTCAGTTATAAAATTATTTTGAAAATTATTTTTTTTTTTTTTTATTATTTTTATTTTATTTTATTTATTTATTTATTATTCATTTTTCTTTGTATGCGTGCTAGTTTTATATTTAGTTATGTCTGTCTTGTTTGTTGATGTGCTGGGTATCCAATCCCTCAAACTTGACAAATTATACATTTAAAAAAAAAAATAATAATAAATAAAAAAAAATAAATAAATACCACGTAAATGCCAAATTTTATTTTATTATTTTTTTTTTTTTTATCATGGCCCCCTCTGATAACGTACATCACACTTTTTTTTTTTTTTTTTTTTCGCAATTTGCATGTGATTTAAATCCTTTTAAAATTCCAGAAATCAGATCAATTTTTAAGATTTTAGTGTGCATGTGAAATTAATTTGACAAGCTCTACGTTTTTTTTTTTTTCAAAAGCCTCGATTACGCTTCCTTTTTCAGGCGACATTTTGCTAAACTTTTCACCAATCGAAACGCACGATTTTTGGTGTTAAATTATTCATCGCTATGACAACAGTCCCAATTTTTCATCTTTAAACCGTCCGGCGATTTGTCAGCGTCTCCCCTCGCTTAAGTATTTCCAGTATTTGGGGCACCCGCGGGGGACCCCCTGCGTCGTCTGTGGTCTGGCCCCTGCAGCACCCGAGGGCCCCCGGGTCTGTGGTGTGTCGGGCCCTTATTGGGGGTAGACCAGAGAGAGAGAGAGAGAGGGAGGAACTATCTTAAAGCGTTGAGTGTTTTTAATGTGTTTGGGTGAAGATGAATGAGGTTTAATGAGAGCGATGACCTCATGCAGACAGTGGCACCAGGAAATGGCCGTGCTCCCGCGGCGAGGCCAGGGACACTTCAGCCGCTTTTAAAACCAAACACAGACGCGGCGCACGTACGGAAAACGGAGAGACAACGCCAAGAACCGACGCTCATTTCAGACGTCAAAATAAACTTAGAAGAACTTCAGAAGGAAGGAGAGCTGGAAGAATTTAAGAGGCTGTGTGCAGAAAAAAAGCGCAGTATCTGATTTTTACCGTCTTAAAAATATGATTAAAATGATTATTATCTGTTACATAAGGGTGAGTTGTTGTACAGTTGTAGGGAGTATTATCTGTTACATAAGGGAGAGTTGTACAGTTGTAGGGAGTATTATCTGTTACATAAGGGTGAGTTGTTGTACAGTTGTAGGGAGTATTATCTGTGACATAAGGGTGAGTTGTTGTACAGTTGTAGGGAGTATTATCTGTTACATAAGGGTGAGTTGTTGTACAGTTGTAGGGAGTATTATCTGTTACATAAGGGTGAGTTGTTGTACAGTTGTAGGGAGTATTATCTGTCACATAAGGGTGAGTTGTTGTACAGTTGTAGGGAGTATTATCTGTCACATAAGGGTGAGTTGTTGTACAGTTGTAAGGGAGTATTATCTGTACATAAGGGTGAGTTGTTGTACAGTTGTAGGGAGTATTATCTGTTACATAAGGGAGTTGTTGTACAGTTGTAGGGAGTATTATCTGTTACATAAGGGTGAGTTGTTGTACAGTTGTAGGGAGTATTATCTGCTACATAAGAGCGAGTTGTTGTACAGTTGTAGGGAGTATTATCTGCTACATAAGAGCGAGTTGTTGGAGAGTTGTAGGGAGTATTATCTGCTACATAAGAGCGAGTTGTTGGAGAGTTGTAGGGAGTATTATCTGCTACATAAGAGCGAGTTGTTGGAGAGTTGTAGGGAGTATTATCTGCTACATAAGAGCGAGTTGTTGGAGAGTTGTAGGGAGTATTATCTGCTACATAAGAGCGAGTTGTTGGAGAGTTGTAGGGAATACAATACTAAATTTGTTTTAATATTGATATTTGTAATAATAATTAAATAAGAATAATGAGAAGACGAATATGACGAAGAAGAAGAAAAAGACAAAGAAGAAAAAGATGAATATGAAGAAAAAGATGAAGAAGACGACAAAGAAGAAGAAGACGATGAAGACGATGAAGAACACAAAGAAGACGACTGTAAAGCCGTGTTCAGACCAAAAGCGTCTGGCGTGAATAAATCGTGTCAAACGCTCCTACTTTGCCGCTTAACTTTTTTGAGTCATTTGCTTCGTTCGTGCTTCCAGGTCGCTCGAGTTTGGGAATTTGGTTGCGCGAGTAAATCCGCTCTATTCATTTCAGACGGATCAACTGCGGCTGCGCGGTTTCCTCTGCATCTGGTTTCATTTGGAAAAATGGCGGACTTGGACCAGACCAGGACTGAGACCGAGGCTGAGACCGGGAACAGATTGGGACTAAGACTGGGACTAAGACCAGGACTAAGACCTGGACCAGCTCGGGACTGAGATCAGTTTAGTCAAGTTTTAGTCCTGTTTTAGTCCTGATTCAGTTCTGGTTTAGTCCTGGTTTAGTCCTGGTTTAGTCCTAGTTTTGTGCTGGTTTAGTCCTAGTTTTGTGCTGGTTTAGTCCTAGTTTTTTATTTGTTTAGTCCTAGTTTTGTGCTGGTTTAGTCCTAGTTTTTTGCTGGTTTAGTCCTAGTTTTTTGCTGGTTTAGTCCTAGTTTTGTGCTGGTTTAGTCCTAGTTTAGTCCTAGTTTTTCACTGGTTTAGTCTAGTCCTAGTTTTTTACTGGTTTAGTCCTAGTTTTGTGATGGTAAAAGTCCAGCATCGCAGACCAGGACTGAGCCCGGGGACCAGACCGGAACTAGGACCACGACTGAGCCCGGGACCAGGACTGAGACCAGGACCAGAATAAAGGAGGTTGAGCAGAGTCTGGTGTAGGTCCTGCTCTGTGGAGTTTATTTCGGTCTTTCTTCTGGCTCATGCTGGTATCGTATAATATCGTCTCGTTTCCCACGGCAACAGTGAGTCTATCATCCATATACGTGACTATCAGAACACGGCCCCTGATTGGTTGACACAACACAAATATTCGCAGAAAGTTCAAAATTTTCAACTTTGGTGAATTTCGTGAGTCCCTCCCATTTGGGAATTCAAACGTCAACGCCAGTTTCGCAAATTCACACCACTCATTTCGCCTATTCGAGCTGCAGAACTTTATTTCCCGCGTCAACGAGCCTTTACGTAAGGTCAACGTGTAAATAATTCACCTTGTTCATGCCAGATGCATTCGGTTTGAACACGGCGAAGATGAAGCCGATAAACACGAAAAAGACAATGAAGAAGAACACGATAAACACGAAGAAGAGAACGAAGAAGAACACGATAAACACGAAGAAGACGACGAAGAAGAACACGATAAACACGAAGAAGAGAACGAAGAAGAACATGATAAACACGAAGAAGAGAACGAAGGAGACGATAAACACGAAGAAGAGAACGAAGAAGGAGACGATAAACACGAAGAAGAGAACGAAGAAGAACACGATAAACACGAAGAAGAGAACGAAGAAGAACACGATAAACACGAAGAAGAGAACGAAGAAGAACACGATAAACACGAAGAAGAACACGATAAACACGAAGAAGAGGACGAAGAAGAACACGATAAACACGAAGAAGAGAACGAAGAAGAACACGATAAACACGAAGAAGAACGAAGATAAACACGAAGAAGAGAACGAAGAGACACGATAAACAGAAGAAGAACGATAAACGAAGAAGACGAAGAAGAGAACACGATAAACACGAAGAAGAGAACGAAGAAGAACACGATAAACACGAAGAAGAGAACGAAGAAGAACACGATAACACGAAGAAGAAGAAGAAGGAGACGATAAACACGAAGAGAAGAAGAAGAACACGATAAACACGAAGAAGAGAACGAAGAAGACGATAAACACGAAGAAGAGAACGAAGAGAGAAGAACACGATAAACACGAAGAGAGAACGAAGAAGAACACGATAAACACGAAGACGAGAAGAAGAACACGATAAGCACGAAGAAGAGAACGAAGAAGAGACGATAAACACGAAGAAGACGACGAAGAAGTAGACAATAAACACGAAGAAGACGACGAAGAAGAACACGATAAACAGAAGAAGAGAACGAAGAAGAGATGAAAACGATGAAGAAGAGAACGAAGAAGAACACGATAAACACGAAGAAGAGAACGAAGAAGAAGACGATAAAACACGAAGAAGAGAACGAAGAAGAACACGATAAACACGAAAGACGACGAGAAGAAGAACACGATAAACACGAAGAAGAGAACGAAGAAGAACGATAAACACGAAGAAGACGACGAAGAAGGAGACAATAAACACGAAGAAGACGACGAAGAAGAACACGATAAACACGAAGAAGAGAACGAAGAGACGATAAACACGAAGAACACGAAGAAGA